AGGCAAAAGGAGAAGAGGATGGCAGAGGATGAGATGGTTAGATAGCATCACTGAAGCAACGAGCATGAAACTGAGCTTACTGAGGGAGGCAGTGAAGGACAGGAAGTGCTGGCGTCATATGGTTCATGGGGTCACGAAGAAACGGACACGACTTAACGACTCAACAACAACAACAACAACATCCATTCCTGGACAAGAAGGCCCTACACTTCATCACTCATGTCCTGGTCACCTGCCTGATGAATTACTGTAATTCACTGTGCATGGGGCTGTCCTTGAACAGCATTTGGGAGCTTCAACTGGCACAAAATGCAGTGCTGTGAGCAGTTATATGTGCACCTAGATCAGCATACATTAAACCTCAGCTGTACGAATTACCTTGGTTACCAGTTTGCTTCTGGGTTCAATTCAAGGTACTGGTAATGACCTATGTAGCCCTACATGGCATGGGGCCAGGATATTTGAGGGATTGCCTCTTCCCAATTGCATCTGTCTGTCCTATCACATCTTACAGGAAGGGCATGTGGTGGGTCCTCTCCATGAACAAATGTCATCTGACAGGACGCAGGAGGAGAGCCTTTTCTGCCATAGCACCCACCCTTTGCAATAGCATTCCCCTGAGGTCAGACTGGCCTACTCTTGCTGGCCTTCTGGAAGAGCCTGAAGCTTTATCTGGGGATCTGTGAATGTGGGTATGGAGCCTCTAAAGTGGCTGTATTACTAGTGTGCTCTGCAGAAGATTATGGTTTTGTTTTTCTTTTAAATGATTTTTGTTGTTATGTTTTTGATGATTTCGTTGGATTGTTTTTCTTTGAACTTTGACTGCCAGTCAGAGTCACATATGTGAGATGGACAGCTATGTAAACTTAGCAGACAAACAAACAAATATAAACTATATTAACACTGACTTCTTCCAACCCTCTAGCTCTGTCGACCTAATCATTCTTTCTAGCAACATCTGCACAATACCTCTCTCTTTGCTTCAGTCTCCTACAAGGAAGAAAGAGAAAGGGTGTTGATTTTTTGGATTAAGCACTTGCAAAGGAAAATAAATAAATAAAAAAACAAACCTTGTGCACATATGTAAAAAGAAAAAGCCTTCTGTTTTTCTGAATTCTGTGGCATGTTCTGAATATTTGAAATAGAGGATACTGGATGTTGTTGTGTGATTACACAGACTTACTGACTTATTGTCAAAGCAAGAACTTTGAAGAGGTACTTTTTCACCATTATTAATTTTCTATCGACAGAAGCCTTGAAAGGGTTTTGTGATACTTCACTGTTCCTCCAATTACATTTTGTCTTTAAAGGACCAACCTCCCTCTTTTCTTACAGATAGAACTGTCCCAATATGTCTGTAAAAACAAAGATACTATATCTTCTAAGCTTGATCATTGCTGTGGATTGCCTCTGGTGGAGAGACCAACATGCCTTCATGGTTTGGAAAATGATGAGAAGCCTGCTCCTCCAGACCACCCATCCAAACAAATCATAAATGAGGCAGAAGCATGTCAATCTTATAATGAACATGCAGATGAACACCTGGAAAGGTACGGTGTAGAGATTTCACACTATCCTCAGTCCCATTAACTGGTGGGGCTAGACTGTGCAAAATAATGAAGGGAACATACTCTTTTGTGCTGAATGAATGGAATAGGTCTTTCCCTATCATCAGATAGAAGGAGGCAATGGGTATTGGGAGGACAGCCTTAGAAGTTCCCCCTAAGTGTCAATTCTGAACCCTAAGCAGTTCCTTCCCAAGGAAGATAAAATTTTTTGCATCTCATAAACTTTCTCTCAGCTCCTCAGTTAACTTCTTGGAGGTTCTTCAGTGTATTCCCAGCACTGAAACAAAATTCAGCTGCTAGTCCAATTGGGTTTTGGACATAGAAGGAAGAAGATGTCATTATCCTTTGCTTCAGGTAGCAAAAATGTTCAGGCACATGTGACTTGCATTATAGATGGAGGGAGCATAAGGAGGCTAATCTAGAGATAAACTTCTGGAACTAAATTTCTAAGGAATCTCTCTAATACAGGAGAGGAAAAGGGGCAGAAGAAAAAAGAAGCAAAATATTACTTAAGTAGCCAAAAGTCTGGCAACCTAAACCTAGGCTAGAGGAGAAAGATGGATAGATTCAGAATTGATCTTGGAAAAGATCTACCTTTAAGTCATCCATAGCATTATTTCCAGTTGGTATTGGAAGAAAGAAATGAGTTGTGCTAGAAAACCTGGTGGGAACTGAAGGACACTCAACTCGTCCTTATTTGCTCCACAATTTCAAATGGCTGACCCAGAAGGATTTCTGCAAAGTCTAGAATCTTATAAGTTTAAAAGATTTTTTAAACATTACTGAAACAAAACATTTCAAGAACATGAAATACATTGTCTCCTTTCTGTTGCTGTTAATGTTTGCTGACCCTATTTTTCACTTCTTGTAGCTTTCTCTTTAACTTAACAAGAAGCCACCTTGAGCTTTCTAAACTGTTTGATGTGGAAATTTTCCTAAGATATAAAGACTTGTTGGGCCAATGCTGCAAACTGGAAGATCATGCACAGTGTTTGCATACAGGGGTGAGTTCCTTTGTCTCTCTACAGGCCATTGTCTGTTGATTCCCTGCCCACCCACACTCCCATTGTGGTACTATTAATAATTATTCAGAAAATAGAAGAGAAATTTTAGATTCAGACAAGATGCATTATTAAATGCCATGCCTAGAGTGGAAAATGTCAACCTCAGGCTGTGTGTGTTTTTTGTTTGTTTGTTTGTTTTATTGTTTTGTTTTGTTTTGTTTTGCTGTGTTTTATTTTGCTTGGAAAGATGGAGGATTTGTAGCTTGAAAAGTCAGGTGGAATGGAGTGGAGCTGCCCTTGAAGAGTGTTTGGAAGTGATAGTTGGTGCAACATGTAGTAGCCAGACATGTTTCTGATATTTGCTTTTCAGATAATATTATCCAAGCTTTATGTGTACCATCTGCACTACTTTCATTTCCAGGCCAAATTTCAGGTTTTAGCTATTGTAATTCCCTAAATATCACTTCATCCTGATTAAAATGATCTGGTCATCTTTATATGTCAGTCTGGGTGCTCCTGTAACATGACCCAGCTACAAAATAGATTCAGCTCATAGGAACATGTCACATGGTATGTTCTTTTTGCCTCTATCTTTTAGGGACGACGTTTGTACACTTAATGGGTATAGAATTTTTATTTATTTTTTTATCAAATCATGCTCTTTGCTACTCCTTTCCATTCACATTTGCCTCTAACTTTGGGAGAATCCAAACTTACACATCTAAATTTCATCTAATTTGAAAATCACTTGTCTCCTCCAGGGTAAGAATTGCATATATTTCTCAGACTTTCTCCCAACATTGTTTCTGTTGTTTCTTCCTAGTGTGCTCACTGTCACTGCAGACATTTCACAAAAATCGTTTTCTTTCAGGAAGAACAACTTGAATCGCTCATTACTAAGATTGAGGACGTTGTGAAGAAAAATTGTGAACACTATAAAAAAATAGGAGGGTACTTCTTCCAAAATGAGTATGTTATTATTTGAATGATATATTTGCAAACAGGGGGAACTGTTCAATTAGCGAAGCCATTTATGGATGGGCGATTGTCTACTTGCGGGGGGGGGGGAGTGGAGACCCAGAGTGAAAAGGCTGCAATTCCTCAGAAAAGAATATTCCACCAAATG